GATAGAAAGCACGAGAGGGAAGAGGGTCAGAGGGAGAAGCAGACTCCCTGCTGAGCAGGAAGCCCGATGTGGGACTCGATCCCAGGACTCCAGGATCGTGACCTGAGCCGAAGGCAGTTGCTTAACCAACTGAGCCACCCAGGCGCCTGGAAACTGTATACTTTAAAAAGATGTTCCTCCAGAACATGTAAGATGAAGTTTGGTGTGCAGAAGCTGTGAGCCTGACACAGAGCTGCGTTGTCCAATATGGAAGCCATGGGCCCCCCAGGGCTGGTGCAGCTGAGACTCACTGCAAGGTTAAGTACACATCAGATGGCCAGATGCCAGAGAACTGGCACAAAAAGAGAATACCTCACAAGTAATTTTTATACTGATCACATGTTGAAATGATAATGTTGCACATTTGGGCTAATTAAAATACATTATTTAAATTTCCTGTTTCTTTTTACTTTTTAACGTGGCTACTAGAAAATGAGTGACACATGTGGCTCACATCATATTTCTGTTGGACAACGCTGCTCAAGAACAATCACAACGACACTTTGCCCGGAACACTGAGTCAGGGCTGTATGTACACATGTAGGAGGGGTCACACCCCCCAAGAAGCATAGGCTACAGTAAGGGTTAAAGATGCATGGGTGCATGTCCACGGTGCACGAGTCCTCGTCGTTACGTCTGTATGTGTTCTGGAAGCACTGAATAAGCCCCTCCGGTGTACTCAGCCAGAAGGGGCAGCAGGACTGGCTGGTGGGTGTAGACCTGCCCATGGTAGCAGTGATGGACCGTCCTGGCCACTCCCTCATCCTGGCCACCAACCTTGCCAGCCAGCCTTGCGGATATTGGGGCACCTGCTGTGCTGCTTCAACCCCCTGTTCTTTTCCTTACTCACACAACATGCATCTGGTGTGCGCTCATGGTCACTAATATTTGGCCTTGGCAGCCCCACCAGCCCATTTGAGCACTAGGGAGCACTGGCACCATGAAGGAGAAAGGCCGCTCCTGGGCACCATAGACAGGATGGGAGCAGCAACCCGCACTCAGGCTTTCTGTCAACCCTTGATCCCCCCAGCCCTGCCAGCAGGGCTCGCGGGGATGGGGAGTCAGGATCACACAGGCCACACCAGAGGTAAATGGCACAGTAGGTCCCACTGGGGTCAGCCACCTCCCCAGCTGTAGGGTGTGTGTTTGAGGTTGCACTTGGGGTTTTGTTTCGGGGCAGGGGAGGGGAGACAGACTTTTTAACCTTCAGGGGTCATTGTCTTCAACTGTTTGAGGGGCGCTCAGGTATTGGGCCTGAGGGCATATCACCCCTCCCACCTTTGGCTCAGCTCCATCCTCCATTCCCTCTGACCCTAATTACCCCACGCAGGGACCTGGGGCAGATAGGACCGGCTCCAGAAAGTCTCTTGCAGGGTCCAGGGGCGCATGGCTGAGCCAGGCTTAACAGAGCCGGTCTGACCACTGATAGGCCGTGCACACCATTCTCCTGAGACCAGAATGTCACTCTCCTCAACCTCCCCAGCTCTGCATAAAATGAGGCCTGCCTGAGTCTCCCCACTAACTGAGAGCACATGATTCCTGAAGGTTCTAAGAATTGCACAGAGCTGGATAAATGGTCTACTTTCATTGTTAGATGGTGCTCTTAATGCTTTTTATGGCTCAAAGTTACATTGGTGTCTTATTTCCAGGGATTATCAGCCTCATCAAGGTTAAAGATGAACATTATTTGCTGTTTTCTCCTTTCCTCTCATCCTTGAGTTTCCGGAAGGGCCCTGGTCACTATACTGAGAGGGAGAGGAAATTCCAGTGCGTGGCATGCTGAAGAAAAGCTACATTCAGACTCAGGCCCACATCTGAGATCCACGCTGCCATTTGCTGGGGTTGAGCTGTACTTGCAAGTCCTTCAGAAGTGCCCTGAGCTGAGTTTGTGGGGCACCTAAGTACCCCGGATTAGGCCAGGTGCTACAGATGAGTTCTGTCAGCCTGGCCCAGCCTGGAGAGGGACATGGCCTCAGAGTGGGCAAGAGCATGTTGGGAGCTGCAAGGCGGTGGGGCGCATGCACTCGTACGAGACAGGATCCTTGCCCACTGACCAGTCAGTGGGGACCAGAATATCAGCATTTGTAACAGGAAAAAGGAAATGTGTGGTGACAGCTCTCTACTTTGTGTCTGTCTTTTCCATGAGTCACTGGCAGGCTGAGTTGGCCCAGCTTCACCCCACCACATGTCCTCTGCCCTGGGTAACCTGTTATTACATCTTTGTTGAATCAACTGTACGCAAGCACTTGAGTGTGAAGCCCAGGGTGGCAAAGCAAGGGAAAATCTGAGCTGTCAGAATTTCAAGTGTGCCACCACTGTCACCCTTTCCATCCCACTGGGCAGCAGAGACCCCCTGTTCTCTGGAGAGGAGCTGTTCAGAAATGCTCTGTAGGAGGTCTGTCCTAGCTCTGCAGGAATCCTGGGAGAATGTAGTTGTATCAGAGGGCCTGGACAGCAGGTCTGATGCCCTGGAGGGCCCAGGGTCTGCAGTACTGCAAATGCAGGTGCCTCCCCTTGTTCAAGATGACAGATGGGAAAACAGGAATGACTTAACATGCCCCCCAAGAAACCTCATGGTGTCTTTTCTCCAAAAACCTACAAGTCCCCAGTGCAGGCTATTTGACTAATGGACTTTGAGGCTAAGGGTCAAACACAGGACACATACCCTGGTCAGAGTCTGCAGGGTGGACCCTGCCAGGCTGGAGAAGAGCCCTGGCCAAGGGAGGCCCAATGGGGAGGGACTGTGACCCAGTGGGTGAGCCTGCTCCCTGAGTACGTTTTGTCCACTGTGGTGTCCTCTGTCAGTCTTATGAATGCTGTCAACACCCTGAGTCCAGGGAAGCCATTCCTTTAAAATAAAGCTCTGGCCTAGGTGTGGTTGCATTTTCCTGTCTTCACAGAAAGAGGGTAAGGTAAGTAACTTACAAGTCAAGGGATATCTGCACCAGTGGTCTCCATCTAAATGTGACTGCCTGTGGTCAGGGCAAGTCTCGTTGAGCACTCAAGCCTTGGCAGGAACCCAATCACAGGATCCGGAAGCTGAACTTGAGGGCAAGAGGCCTGACCACCAAATGTTTGCAAAATACTTTTGAGGTGGGTAGGGAAACACCTGTGAGAAAGAGCGTCCCAAGACCCAAATCCAAAAGCCTGACTTCCATTCCTGATGGTTGTGCCTCCTGCACCATCAGTGCACGCAGTTCAATTGTGGGCAATCTGGAGCGGGGAATGCCGGGGGAGGCAGGAGGTAGCAGCCCAGCTGGTGAGCCCTCCTGCACTGCTGGTGGTCGGCTGAGTCCTTTACCTTTCCAGGGCAGGAGTCAACCAGCTGAGCTCACCTTTCCCAAAATGGGCCTTGTGGACTTTCCCCATTGCTCCTTGCACTGCTTCTGTCCTAGGACCCATGCTTGAGGGCCTCCTGACTCTGCCCAGGATTTCTCTTGGATGTGCCATCTCCAGGCAGCCCTCAGCCTCAGGGCTCAGGGCTGACAGAGGGTTCCTGGCTGAAAAGGTCGGACAGAGATGTGCTAGACGTAATGTGCAAGGAACATAAATGTAGTCGACGTGCCAACTGTGGAGTCAGCCCTGGTTCCTAATGGTTGTATTCTGTGTCTGCTCAGGGAGAAACAAAGGCAGCATGGCTCTGAGTGGAGGCCCAGCACTGGCAGAGCGCAGTGGCCGGGAAGGATCCAGCCAAAGGATGCCCCGACAACCCAGTGCCACCAGGCTGCCCAAGGGGGGCGGGCCGGGGAAGAGCCCCACTCGGAGCAGCACCTGAGATGGGCAGACTTCTCACGCCGTCCAGCTCTGGGCTTCGCCAGTCTCCTAGCAGAGGCTACCTGGGCTTTCCCCCAGTTGGTAATAAAGCTTTGTGAAAAACCGAGGGTCCATCCAAGCTGTTTTCTATCACCTTTTGAATATATTAAGACACAAAGATTTAGAATCAGATCTGCCTGGTGGGCCTGGCTGTGCTACAGCTGAACTAACTGACTTAAACCAGTGATTTCACCCTCCTGTACCTTATTTTCATGTTGGAGAGAAAATATCTGTACAGTTGGCCCTTGAACGACACAAGGGTAAGGGGCACCAACCTCCTGCATAGTTGAAAATCCGAGTATAACTTTGAATCCTCAAAGCTTACCTACTAGTAGCCTATTGTTAACAGGAAGCCTTACCGATAATATAAAGCCAATTAATACATACTTCATATATGTATTACATACTGTATTTCTTACCATAAGATGCTAAAGAAAGGAAAATACATTTACACTACCATACTGTAAAAAATCCATACAGTTGACCCTGCACCATTGAAACTCCTTTTGTTCGAGGGTCAACTGTATTCCTAGATCTTTTATAAATGGACATCAACGTGTTTTGCTGAAGGGAAAGTTGCAGTGCTTTTGCCGAGACTGTTCCTAGGGTGCTCAGCTGTAAGGGCCTGAGTGTGGAGGGGGGATGCTGTCATACAGGGTACGTGCACAGTGAAGTCAAAGATGAACTGTTGTAACCTAGAGCTCACCCTGTGGGTTGTGAATGCCGTGCAAAATACAGTAAGATCTTTCCCCCCTAAAAATGTCCTCACCCTACACATGTGGCCCACAGTGTTAGGGACTTTGTCAACAGCCCCATTCCACGGACCTCAGCTGTTCAAACTTCGTTCCAAACTCTTACCATGTGCCATTAACAGAGAAGCCTGAAAAATGACAAACACAACTGAAAATCTAACTAGGTTTCCTAGAATCTAGGGAAATCTTTGTGCCTTGAAACCTTGATTTGGAAACACTGTTTCCCCCAGGTCATGTCACATCAACAGTGGCTCCTTAAGATATAAGTAGTGCTGCACCAAACTCCTACACTACAGCCCAGGACAGCCTTCCATGTGGCCCAGCAGGCCTTGGGGTCCTACCCCCTCCCTGCCGGCAAAGACCTGTGTCCCACTGTGCATCACAATAGACAGAGGCTTCATGGAGAAACTTTAATTGTAAACAACTGGAAACAAGATGTGCTGCAAGGTGGCAAGAGGGGGTGAGGGGGTGGGGGGGAGAGGAACCCCTGCCAGCCCCGCTCCCATTCAGTATTCTTCCCCTTCTTCGGCCTCTGCTTCCATGGAATCCACACCCACCTCTTCATAATCTTTCTCCAGAGCTGCCAGGTCCTCCCGGGCCTCAGAGAACTCCCCTTCCTCCATGCCTTCCCCCACGTACCAGTGCACAAAGGCCCTCTTTGCGTACATGAGGTCAAACTTATGGTCCAGGCGGGCCCAGGCCTCGGCAATGGCGGTAGTGTTGCTCAGCATGCACACAGCCCGCTGCACCTTGGCCAAGTCACCCCCGGGGACGACGGTGGGGGGCTGGTAGTTGATGCCCACCTGCCAGAGAACGGGAAGAAAAAAAGTCTGTGAAGCTTCAGTCAAACCCAGAAATGGAGGATGCTTTCATGGAAACGGAAGACATGCAGGCGCCTTCTTCATGCCAGGCGAGGTGTCAGGTGAGCAGGCTGCTGGTTTCTAGACAAGGACAATGGGGAAAAAGAAGCCCTGGAGCCGGCCAGCCTGGCTCGGGCCCAAGCTGCCGGAAGGGCTGTGTCCCAGCACCTGAGCCATGTGAGGTGCTCAGGTAACAGGACTGTTTCTTCTAAAAAGGGATATTACCGGAATAAATGGCACTTAAAGTTAATCCTAAAAACAGAAAAAGAAGAAAGAGAAAAAAAAAGAAAGAGAAAGAAAGAAAAAAAGGAAGGAAGAAAGGGATACTACTTTCTATTCTTCAGATATTATTTTCTCCATAGGCTTCCATAGATGGGGATTCATTTCTGTAGCTGAAACCGCTTCCACTCGAGTCAGAGCACTATGGTTTTATCACGAGGGGAGATCATACCCCCGTCTCCCATCAAGTGAGCCCGTGTGTGCATCACAGGATGACAGGAGTGCTGTCAGAGGTCCGAAGACGGTTGCTACTGCCGCAACGGGAGACGGCCTACGTGTGTGCTAAGTAGAAGAAAGGGGTGATGTTCCGGGGCTGGGACCAAAGGGGAGGCATTCTAGAATAGTTTCCAAATCAGGGGACAATGTGACCCGAGATTTGGGCAGCAATACATAGGGTCAATTAGAACCGGGCTCAGCAAACATTGTCTATAAAGGGCAAGACAGCACATATCCGAGGCTGGGCAGGCCACACGGTCTCGGTCACAATTACTAATGCTCTCTTTGTCGCACAAAAGCAGCCACGATGACACGCCAATTAACAGGTGTGGCTGTGTTCACATAACATTTTATTTACAAAACTAGGTAGGTGGCTGGTCTGCCAACCGTGCTGACCCCTGAACCCAGAGTAGAAAGTGCTCTACTTTGGGTGAAAGGACCCAGTGCAGCGGGCCGACCAGAAGCGGTGAGTTCTGAGCCCACAGAGATGGCATGAAAAGCAAGGCAGAGAGAAGCCCATTTTCCCAGATGGAAAGCACTGACAGAGTTGAGTATTCAAGTACTGGACAAAGCTGCAAAGCGACAGCAAGTTTCCTATACTGTATCGAATGGAAGGTTGGTATAAACTACGTTGGAGGCAAACTCAGGCCAAAATTGTTGAGCTTACCAAATGAGAAATAAATATGTTGCCATTTTTTTCCAAAAAAATTCATGAAAGTTTTTCTTGAAATCAAACACTGCATGGGACATTTAAATTGGGTTTAATTTCTAAATGTCTGTGGAATAAAGTGGGTTTTCGTGACAACAATGTTTATAATAATGCCCCAATTTCAAATATCCACATAAATTGTTAAAATGCTTTGAAAATGTCTACATTTCTAAATCCAAACTACATTTCCCCACACTCATTCACCACCCAAAAGAAGGAACAAAAATCGTTCCAAAAATTTCCTGTTCTGTTAAAAAAAAATTCTCACCACAGATATATAGTGTGATTCCTCAGGAAGGAAGTTCAAAAGGCACCAATGAATAAATTATCACTCTGGCTCACTAATTTATAACCAAGGGGCTGGCTGCCAAGGAACGGGGGTATTCTCCACAAAGGGCATTCTGTGCTTGGGCTGCTGCTGCTGACAGGTAAAACCACACCACATTACCCAGTCCTACCTTGAATCCAGTCGGGCACCAATCCACAAACTGGATGGTGCGCTTGGTCTTGATGGTGGCGATGGCCGCGTTGACATCTTTTGGGACCACGTCCCCCCTGTACAACATGCAGCAGGCCATGTACTTGCCGTGCCGAGGGTCACACTTGACCATCTGGTTGGCCGGCTCGAAGCAGGCATTGGTGATCTCGGCCACGGACAGCTGCTCGTGGTAGGCCTTCTCGGCAGAGATGACCGGGGCGTACGTGGCCAGGGGAAAGTGGATGCGGGGGTACGGGACCAGGTTGGTCTGGAATTCCGTCAAGTCCACGTTCAGGGCCCCATCGAATCGCAGGGAGGCCGTGATGGAGGACACGATCTGCCCGATCAGACGATTGAGGTTGGTGTACGTGGGCCGCTCGATATCCAGGTTGCGCCGACATATGTCGTAGATGGCTTCGTTGTCCACCATGAAGGCACAGTCGGAATGCTCCAGGGTCGTGTGGGTGGTCAGGATGGAGTTGTAGGGCTCCACCACGGCCGTGGACACCTGGGGGGCTGGGTAAATGGCAAATTCCAGCTTGGACTTCTTGCCGTAGTCCACCGACAGCCGCTCCATGAGCAGAGACGCGAAGCCAGAGCCGGTGCCGCCCCCGAAACTGTGGAAGATGAGGAAGCCCTGCAGCCCCGTGCACAGATCCGCCTGAAAGCAAGCACAGACCGTGGGTCAGTGCCTGCAGAAGCCACACCGCCGACCTCCAACGAGCCACGGTCACTCCTCTTTTCCTCTGCAGGACGCTACGCGTTCGAATCGGCCGCAGCGCACACGCGTGACACTCAGAAGCAAAGCAAGGCAGACGTGAAGATGGGTGGACGATGGATGCACTGAAGCCACCCGTGAAGGAAGACGTGGACTCAAGATTCCGGCCTGGGGTTTGGCCAAAGTGACCTCCCGGTCCCCATCCCCGCCACCTTCCCGTCCAGGGCAGCGTCCACAGGAAGCCCTCTCGGCGCCCCCTTACCAGTTTCCGGATCCGGTCCAGGACCAGGTCGACGATCTCCTTGCCGATGGTATAATGGCCTCTGGCGTAATTATTGGCTGCGTCCTCCTTCCCGGTGATCAGCTGCTCTGGGTGGAAGAGCTGCCTGTAGGTCCCCGTGCGCACTTCATCTACAAAGAGGACGCGTGGGCCGCGGGTCTTTAAGGCCTGTTGTTAACTCACCGAGAGGGAGGGATTCGGGGACCCTCTGCATCTACCACGCACAGGCCGTGCCTTGGGGGTCGGCAGCATCGGTGTCTCACAGGAAACGTCTCTGTGTGACGTGCAGACCACAACTGCGGTCTGTGGATCTAGCAGGGGAAGTCCACTGGAGGTACAAAGTCCAATCTGACTGGTCCCCAAAGAAGGGAAAGAGCTCACACCTGCACACACACGATTATTTCTTCCCATCTGTAGCTACACACAAGGAGTGTGACTAAAAAGCCCTGACATACTAGACAGTCACCAGGTCAGCATGACCTCTGCCAGGCAGTCCCGTCAGGGCATCCTAGGTGGCCTGCGGTTCACACGCTTCAGGCTGACGTTCTGTCTTCTCCTGGGTGGCCCCTGAACGGTGCCCTCTCTTTGCAGCTCTCCCCGGCCACCACCTCAGGCTTCTCAGCTGGAGGATCCCAAGGAATGTTCTCTACTTACCTTCCGTGTCTAAGACGCAGGTCATGACTCTTGTGCACCAGCATCTCCATGTGTGCAGCGTTAAGGAGGGACCCGAGACCCGGCACCCTGAAGGTGGGGTCCACGCAACCACCTGCCTGGGTCTGAGGCGGCCACGAGTGAATCTGTTACCAGTCCCTCTTTTCTGTACATTAGGTTCTCCTAAATTAGGAGCCTCGGTGCCAAGGACACTTGAAGCACTAACCCTGTAGTTTCTCACCTAACACAGCCACAGGCGTATACTTGCACATCCCATCCTTTCTGTGGAAGGAGTCAAGGGAGCACAGGGAGGCCCTCCCACTGTCCCAGGAAAGCCACCCAAGTGCCCCAGTACCTACCGACCACGGTGGGTTCCAGGTCCACAAATACCGCTCTGGGCACATGCTTGCCAGCCCCAGTCTCGCTGAAGAACGTGTTGAACGAGTCATCCCCACCGCCGATGGTTTTGTCACTTGGCATCTGACCATCAGGCTGAATTCCATGTTCAAGGCAGTACAGTTCCCAGCAGGCATTGCCGATCTGGACACCTGCCTGCCCCACGTGGATAGAGATGCACTCGCGCTGGGAACCAGAACATAAACATTGAGACCTCCTTGTTTTCAATGCAATCAGCATTATGTGGCATGCAAATGAGACCCAAAATCATAAGTTAATATTTGTAAAATATTTTGTTGTCTTAAGATCTCCTCAGACATTACATCCCATGAGCTTCCATGATAATTTTATATCTGAACACTTATCTATCCAACATGGATGTATATACACTTAAACTATGAATAGTAATAGAATCACTATAAATTAGTCTTCCAAGCCATTAGTAAGTAATGTTAAAAATTTACAAAACAATGGCTTAGCAAAAATCAGACAAAATATATAAAATAACAGTTTATAGTCATTGGAAAACAGGCAGCACAAGACAGTGATTCAAACAATGTAAGCCTTAGCATTGTCCCAGAAGACTGCTGGGAAGTTTCCAGGCTGCATGGGGTGGGCAGGGACCCAAAGCCCAGGGACCTCCCCGAGTTGAGAGAGAATTCAGTGTTCAGGGAGGCCAAAGCATATAGAAACTATGGTACTAATAGTGGAGGGGAGAGAGTTGCAAAGAAAGAACCCCGTGGACATCAGCAGAGTCCCACTTGAGTCTACAGTGGAGAAGCACTCAGCACCCATGTGTGAAGGACTCCTGACCTCACATCAGTCATGAAGGAAAGGCCTCCTAACTCACAAAGCACTGAAGGGAGTCCTCAGTAGTGGGGCCAAATGAGACCTACACTAAAGGCTGTTTGGAACTCACCTAAAGCTTAAAAACGAGCCTCAACAGGATCAAATTATTTCCAGGTATTTAACAGCATCCCAGAAGAAAGCCTAAAAATAGTTAAGGCAATACCAAAAAAAACACCCCAAAACAAAAAACAAACCCTAGCACCCAACAATTTAAAATTCATAATGTCGGGGCACCTGGGTGGCTCAGTCGTTGAGCGTCGGCTCAGTTCATGATCCCAGGGTCCTGGGACTGTGCCCCACATCGGGCTCCCTGCTTGGCGGGGAGCCTGCTTCTCCCTCTCCCACTCCCCCTGCTTGTGTTCCCTCTTTCGCCGTCTCTCTCACTGTCGAATAAATAAATAAAATCTTTAAAGAAAAAAAATAAAAAATAAAATTCATAATGTCAATCTAAACTTAACAGGTATAAACACACACACACAGAATATATGACCATATGAAAAGAAAAAGTAATCAGTACAAACTAACTGAACTAGTTGATGACAGAACTAGTAGACGAGGACATTAAAATAGTATTATGTATCCATATCTCAGGAAGGTAGAAGAGAAAATGAGGAGAGATATAAGAAAGACCTATATCAAACTAATTATGATAAAAGAATGCCTGGGGGCGCCTGGGTGGCTCAGTCGTTAGTCTGCCTTCAGCTCAGGTCATGATCTCAGGGTCCTGGGATCGAGCCCCGCATCGGGCTCCCTGCTCGGCGGGAAGCCTGCATCTCCCTCTCCCACTCCCCCTGCTTGTGTTCCCTCTCTCACTGTCTCTCTCTCTCGTCAATTAAAGAAATAAAACCTTTAAAAAAAAAAAAGAATGCCTGAAATGCAAAAAACACACTGGATGGAATTAACAGCCTATTATATATTACAGAGAAGATGTGAGGGAGGGGCGCCTGGATGGCTCAGTTGTTAAGCATCTGACTTCCGCTCAGGTCATGATCCCAGGGTCCTGGGATCAAGCCCCACATCGGGCTCCCTGTTGAGCTGGAAGCCTGCTCTCCCTCTCCCACTCCCCCTGCTTGTGTTCCCTCTCTCACTGTGTCTCTCTCTGTCAAATAAATAAAATCTTTAAAAAAAATATGAGGATGACAGAAAAGTTCTAGAATAGAAGCGGTGATATTTATGGAACATATGACTGTACTTAATGTGACTGAATTATACTTAAATGGTTAAAATGGTAAATTTGGTACCATGTGTACTTTACCACAAAAAAGTTGATACTCAGCAACATGGATGAATCTCAAAGCAATTATAGTATATGAATGAATTCAAACAACAAAAAATAAACTCAATAATCCCATATTATAAAATTCTAGAGAATACACTTAAGAAGGTTATTAGTGGGGCAGGAGTGGCAAGAGGGAGTATTTTCAAAGGGGTAGGAGGAAATTTTGGGGGTAACAGGAGTTCTATTAGCTTTATTGAGGTGATGGTTTCATGAATTATCAATATGTTAGTGAATGTGAAACCTTAAAAAAAAAAAAAACTAACCAAGGGAGAGCCTCTGTACTGCTAAAAGATCAGTGTTTTAAAAGACCTGTTTTTTTTTTTTTTTTAAGATTTTATTTATTTGACAGAGAGAGACACAGCGAGAGAGGGAACACAAGCAGGGGGAGTGGGAGAGAGAGAAGCAGGCCTCCTGCTGAGCAGGGAGCCCAATGTGGGATTCTATCCCAGGACCCTGGGATCATGACCTGAGCAGAAGGCAGCAGCTTAACGATTGAGTCACCCAGGCACCCCTGAAAGACCTGTTCTAATTCTGTCTAGATTTTACTGCATTCAGAAGTTTAATCATGTAATTGGCAGTTTTCTAAATTAAAAACTTTACAGAAATACTAACTGGTAAATAATTATAACACAATCGATTTGATTGAATTAAAAATACATAAATGTTAAACCTTGTCAAATTATACAATTTATTTTTACTTCATGACAGTGATAGCTCAATAAAACTAAAAAAAGGAGGCAAAATAAAGACTTTGTCAGACATTCAAAAACTGAGGGAATTAATAATCAGCAGATCACTACTACAAGAAATGCTAAGAGAATTACACCAGACAGAAGGAAAACACTAGATGGAAAATTGGAACTACACAAAGCAATGAAGAATACCAAAACAGCTAAACATGTGGGCAAACATAAAAGACTTTTTATTGTATTTTTAAAATATAATTGAAGGTTAAAGCAAAAACAATGATTTACTGTGGGATTTATAGCTTGTATAAAATTAACACACAACCAATAGTAGCACAGAGGCCAAGAAGGAGAAATGGAAGTATACTGCTGGGACATGATATAATATCACCTGAGAGCAGACTGTGACTAACTGAAGATGTGTTCTATAATCCCCAGAGTAACCACAAAAAAATAAAACAAAGTGGTACAGCCACAAAACTAATAAAAAAAGATAAAAAGGAATCATAAAAATAATCCAAAAGAGTATATATACACAATGGAATATTATGCAGCCATCAAAAGGAATGAGATCTTGCCATTTGCAATGACGTGGATGGAACTGGAGGGTGTTATGCTTAGTGAAATAAGTCAATCAGAGAAAGACATGTATCATATGACCTCACTGATATGAGGAATTCTTAATCTCAGGAACAAACTGAGGGTTGCTAGAGTGGTGGGGGGTGGGAGGGATGGGGTGGCTGGGTGATAGACATTGGGGAGGGTATGTGCTACGGTGAGCGCTGTGAATTGTGCAAGACTGTTGAATCACAGATCTGTACTTCTGAAACAAATAACGCAACATATTTTAAGAAAAAAGAAAAAGAAGAAGATAGCAGGAGAGGAAGAATGAAGGGGAGTAAGTCAGAGGGGGAGACGAACCAGGAGAGATGATGGACTCTGAAAAACAAACTGAGGTTTCTAGAGGGGAGGAGGGTAGGGGGATGGGTTAGCCTGGTGATGGGTATTAAAGAGGGCACATTCTGCATGGAGCACTGGGTGTTATGAACAAACAATGAATCATGGAACACTACACCAAAACAAATGATGTAATATATGGTGATTAACATAACAATAAAAAATTTTTTAAAAAATAATCCAAAAGAGGAAAGAGGGAACAAACAGGAGATAAACAGAAAACAAATAGCAACCTGGTAGATTTAAACCCAACCATACCAATAATCACATTAAACATCATTACAAATTAAATGAAAATATCTAATTAACAGGCAGATTGTCAGAGAAAAAGCAAGACCTAACTATAAGCTAACTACAAGAAGCCCAGAGATAGGTTCAAAAGTAAAGGATAGAAAATGATATACCATGCTAAGGCTAAACCAAAGGCAAGCTAGAGTGGCTAGATGAACAGTATGGTTTTGATTTCATTTTCTTTTCTGCTGACACTGGCTTGCTATTAGCATACAGACTGACCTTGGTCTAGCAGAAGGGAGTTGGAATGGATGGGATGGGCCCATCAGGTGTTCCTCCAAGCCGGTTTAGAGGAAACACCACCCTGGATGAGGCAGGGCAGAAGGGCTGGGAGGAGTGCACCAGCACACGGCAGGGCAGTGACGTCACTTGGGCACATAGGGACAAGGTGGTGAGCCTGGAGCCTCCCACTCCGCCACTTGTGTCTCACTTCTCCAAGAGCACCACAGTGGGCGGGAATACAGAATGTCTAAGTTCCAGGCATTGTCCTTGGTGAGGGGGCTGCCTGGGTCACACCTGGCTGACAGCACACGGCTCACAGGAAGGCCAGGTGGAAGAGGGTACTCAGCCTGGTAGGGGACAGTGTGGGATAGAGCAGGCCAGGACCAACACTGTTGCTTTCAAAGCAAAGTATTTTACTAAGGAAGTGGGGTCATTTCATAATGGTAAAGGGACCAATTCAACAGGAAGCCATAACAATCCGTAATGGTTATGTATCATTAAAGTCACAGCTAAGAAGTTCAAAATATACAAAGAAAAACAGAACTGAAAGGTGAGATAGACAATCTACAATCAACAACTTCAACATTCTCTCAATAATTGAGTCAACCAGATGGAAATCAGTCAGGGCACAGAAGACCTGGACAACAGACTTCAACATTCTCTCAATAACTGAATCAACTAGATGGAAATCAGTCAGGGCACTGAAGACCTGGACAACACTATCAACCACACTGACCTAAATTACATTAGAAAATACTCCACCCCACACAGCAGAATAGACATTCTTCTCATATGCACAGGGAACATTTGCCAAGCAGACCATATTCTCCACCAAAATGAATTCCAAATTATTCAAGTAAGAGTTTGATCCGTAGTGGGAGGGAAAAGTGGATCCCAGAGCCCTGAGCAGCCCTGCTCCTGCCACCATCACCACAGCCCTGAACAACAAGGCCAAGACCCTCAGCTGCCTCGACCTCCAGCACTCCTGACAACAAGCCCAGACCATTTTAACCATGGGTATTATTTTCCCATTATCTAATTATGATCATATTACAGTTCAGAAATCTCAAACTAGGGGCACCTGGATGGCTCAGTCGGTTAAGCGTCTACCTTCAGCTCAGGTCATGATCCCGGGGTCCTGGGATCGGCCGGCCTCCAAGTTGGGCTCTCTGCTCAGCAGGAGCCTGCTTTTCCCTCTCCCTGCCACTCCCCCTGCTTGTACTCTCCCTCTCTCTCTCTGTCAAATAAATAAATAAAATCTCAAAAAAAAAAAAAAAAGAAAAGAAAAAGAAATCTCAAACTACTTCAAGTTGTTTCTAATTTCCTAACCCCATGCTGTAATCTCCTAGCTTTTAGGACTGAAGGTCTGAAGCCCCAAAATTCGGCTTCTGGTCTTGTTTTTAGTAAGTGAAAGACAAGGGACTAAATCACAGCTGATAGTCTAATTCTGATTCAACCAGACTGCAATACTGAGCGCCCCCCCACAAAAAAAATTACCTTTAGAGGCAGGGACAAATTCTCCAGAAGGTACTCAACTTTATGATAAGGCTTAGGGATGCACAAAGTTGGATTTTAAGCAAAATTTCTGCTGCTGGGATTCACTTTAAATTCATCCTCAGGGCGCCTGGGTGGCTCAGTCGTTAAGCGTCTGCCTTCGGTTCAGGTCATGATCCCAGGGTCCTGGGATCAAGCCCCGCATCGGGCTCCCTGCTCTGCGGGAAGCCTGCTTCTCCCTCTCCCACTCCCCCTGCTTGTGTTCCTGCTCTCGCTGTCTCTCTCTGTCAAATAAATAAATAAAATCTTTAAAAAATAAAAATAAAAATAAATAAATTCATCCTCAGACACAAACCCCTCTAACAAAGACAAAGTACCTAGAATGGCCAACATATATTCACACCAACTTGTCACCACCTCCCCCTCCCCAGAAGTTTCCTAATTTAGTTTGTTCAACTAAGCACTATGAACTTTAAAAATCAAAATTTAGGCATTTCAACTTGAGAAGAACCTATCATATCAAGCAGCAATGGTGGAACAACTCTTCCAAAAGGATAAATCATGGTGTTTTGGGGCGCCTGGGTGGCTCAGTGGTTAAGCGTCTGCCTTTGGCTCAGGTCATGATCCCAGGGTCCTGGGATCGAGCCCCGCATCGGGCTCCCTGCTCAGCGGGAAGCCTGCTTCTCCCTCTCCCACTCCCCCTGCTTGTGTTCCCTCTCTCCCTGTGTCTTTCTCTGTCAAATAAATAAATAAAATATTTTTTAAAAAGCATGGTGTTTTTTTTCTTAAGATGAAAACTTTGCTAAAAATAACAGCTCCTAAAAATGATGAAATGCACAAATATCCTCTAATCTTGAAGCTTCCTTTTACCTGTATGGTAACAGAAGATACCTTTCCTTTATACTTGGAATAACTCACCTCTACAAGTGATTTATTTGAGCAGCTTGATTTCATGCTGTGCAATGACCAATAAGAGAAGCCTCAAAACCAACTTTTACAAAGGGAGAATGCAGAGGTTAGTACGAATTATTATATAGTGAATTATTATATAGTTTGTGTATATATATCTCTACACACACACACACACACACACACATTTAAAGTTTGGAAGCTACCACAGTAATCAGCAGAGGAAACAGGATGAGCTCTCAGCCTCAGTTAAGTGGGAACAAGTGAAACTTGAACTGGACCATGTGCAGTCCTGTCAGAAGATTGTTCTGGTTGCTCTCCACTGAAGGCTGTCCTCTTGGGCACTGCTTGTTTAGAAATGCACAATGACAGAGGTGTTGGCTAGGTTCAACTGATGTTTAAACTATTAATGTGTTAATTCAACCAACTATGTAGTAGATCTATGAGCTGAGGATATAAAAATGCATGACTTAAAGGCAGAAGCCTAGCCTGCTGTGGGAAGACAGGAATTATCGTATGTTGCCAATAAAAGGGAATCTGACAATATCTACAAAATCACAGCCATCCACTCCTGGCATCGCATATACACCTACACCAGTAACAAAGGGCACACGCACAGATTACTCATTGCAGCTTCATGTACAAAAGACTGGAAAAAAATCCAAGTATCCAGCGACCCCGAAAAGGTTGAATAATCTACAGCCATACACTAGAATACTAGGCAGTGGTAAACAACAATGCAGATCTTTGCGGATATGGAGGGTGCTGGATTTTTCATACAATGCAAAAACAAGGTGCAAGAGTGTATACTGTGTGCTACTTTTGTTTTTGTTTTTTAAGATTTTATTTATTTATTTAATTGACAGAGAGAGACAGTGAGAAAGGGAACACAAGCAGGGGGAGTCGGAGAGGGAGAAGCAGGCTTCCCGCCAAGCAGGGAGCCCGATGCGGGGCTCGATCCCAGGACCCTGGGATCATGACCTGAGCTGAAGGCAGTTGCTTAACCGACTGAGCCACCCAGGCCCCCCGTGTGTGCTACTTTTGGTGCAAGAAAGGGGACTATAAGCATATCTACTGTTTGGTTTAGCGCTAAGAAACCTCTAAGTATAAACCAACCCAAATAAATAAATAAATAAATAAATAAATAAATAAATAGATAAATAAATAAATAAATAAATTCACACACACCTTATCGAATGAAGGAAGCAAGATTTTTCTGCATATATATGCGTTTTCTACCATTCTTAATTCAAGACGCTGTAAATATTGCCTATCTATATATAAGCGCCCTCGTGACCCCACAGAGTAAGAGAAGTCGGAGAGAATTCGAGTGCAGCACCTGGTGTTGCTTAGGTAAGGAAGAGTCTGGAAGGGCGAGGGCAGCGGGCGCCAACCCCTGCCCCGCACACTCCTGGGTGGCACAAGCATCCCGGAGCTGCGGAGTCAGGGACACCCTCGCGCCCCCCACTGCCACCTGGGTCTGCCCCCCATGGCTCCACCACCCCCCGAGACCTCCCGTCATACCACGGTGGTCGCCTCCCGGTCGCACGCCGGATTTCACCTCCTCTCAGCGCAACGCCACGCGCCCAACTGCCTGCCCGCCACGCCGCGTCCCGCGTCCTGATTGGCTTGCTGCTCTCACGAATGCCATTGGCTCTGACCGCTTCAGGGGGCGGGTCCCAGGTCGGGACCTAAATCGTGATTGGCTATTTTCTTGACCGGCGAACTCGTCTTTGATTGGTCATCACTTTGGGCGGGAAGTGGCGACCTGGTGGCGGGAATGCAGTGGCTGAGCGTCTCTTGGAACGTTGGCAGGAAGCTGTGGGACTAATGCCCGCTTAGGGACTGTGAAGGGGTTGCCGTGGGGCGCCCCTGATTAGGGGTGAGGCCATGCTACCATAGCTTACCCCGCCCGAGCCCCATATGTTCGTCTGTAAAGTGTAGTCTTCCTACATTTTTAGTTTTTACTTGTACAGGTGTATTGGAAGTGACAAGGGCTATTAACGGTGAAAGGGTTTTGCAGTCTTAAGCTTGAGCAGATACATTTAAGGGTTATTTCGTTAGTAGCCTTTTACTGGTTCTGATGTTAGTATCCTGGGCTGGTAAGAATTTTAAAGTCCTGGGTCTCTCAGGGCCAGATGTAACAGGACTTCTGCAAGAAGATAGGATGTGGACCACGTGACAGGTTCTCTGCTGGAAGTGGCTGGGGAGCTCTAGGAAAGCAGGAAATGTTAGTTCTGCCTTCTAGGAGACAGGATTTACCTAGGTCTCAAAGATAAGTATTGCGAGTTTTCCAAGCAGCAAAGAGGCATAGGTGGCGTGGGCAGAGCGGGCCTGCGGACAGGGAGGTCTGAGAGGTGCAAGATTCATCCAGGAGCACATAGACTGTGGAGAAGAAGTTGACATTGAAGGTTCTGGGTGGGGCCGGCATGACCGTGGCCAGACCAAGGAGTTTGGTTTTACTGGGTGGGTTGGAAACCAGCCACAGATGCAAATTGGATTGGCCGGTTAGGGAGTGCATACGGCCGCAGGGTGAGGATCGGGGCAGGAGACCCCACATTGCAGAAAGCCAAAGAATTACCCACCCGCCCACTCACACACCTTGGTTAAAGGAAACACAGAATTTGCAAGGTTCCTGGAAGGGAGTTTGATGACCTGCATTCACTAACCCATTCCTGCTGCTGGTCCATGGGAGAGTCTATGTTTACCCTACAGAAGAAAAGAGCCCCTTCTCTTGGCTCTTCTAAGTACTACCTGAATGAACTAAAATTTTCATATAGAAGGCAGGACCAATTGAGAATATTGGCAGTATTGAGAATATAACTCAATAAAGAATATAATAAATATTCTCATATTGAGAATATAATAAATAAATACAAAATATATATAATAATATAAACAAATTCCATTATAATAATTTATAAATATAATGTAAAAAATTTCAAAAACACAGATGCAAGATGCAGATTTCCTGCTCTACCTACCACTTCTACGTCAATTGAAGTATGAGGTAATGTTCACAGGGGCAGTTCAAATGGTCTGGGTTTGAGCAACACATCCACCATGCATTCAGTAGGAACAATTTTCTGGCTCCACACTCCTCCCTTGCTTTGGCAGATTTCAGATAGAGTGTGGTCTGGAGGTAAGAAGAATTAGTGTGTTGAGAAAAGTGTATTGACATAAGAATATGTGGGGGTGCGTGGCTAGCTCAGTCAGTGGAGCATGTAACTCGTGATCTCAGGGTGGTGAGTTTGAGCCCCACATTGGGCAGGGAGCCTACTTAAAAATAAATATATTTATTTATTTATTTATTACTACTTGCAGATTCCAGAAGTGCAGAGGTGCAATTGAGTGGTGGCAGGGTCAGGGTGTGGGGTGAGGAAGGACAAGTCTTCTGTCTAGGGTCACAAAACAACAGGAGATAGAGAGCAGGGTAGCAAGCACCTATTATTCATAAGGTGGTTAGGGTGGAGGTCACTAACTTTTCCCGGACTTAACTCTCAGTAAATATTTCTATGTTTTATACATATTTTTTAAAGATGTATTTATTTATTTTCACTAATGGCTAATGATGACAAGAATCTTTCCATGTGCTTATTGGATGTTTGTATATTTTCTTTGGGGGAATGCCTACCTAGATCCTTTACCCATCTATATTTATATATATATATTTTTTTTTATTATTTGAGTAGGGTTGACATACAATGTTACATTAGTTTCAGGTGTACAACTGAGTGATTTGACAAGTTTGTATATTATGCCATGTTCACCACAAGTATATCTACCATCTATCTGTTCCATTACTGATCCTTTACCCATTTTTTTACTCCTCCTCCCATGCTTTTTTTTTTTTTAAGATTTTATTTAGGGGGTCCTGGGTGGCTCAGTCAGTTAGGCATCAGCCTTCTGCTCAGGTCATGATCCCAGGGTCCTGGGATCAAGTCCCACATCAGGCTCCTTGCTCAGCAGGGAGCCTGCTTCTCCCTCTCCCTCTGCCTGCCATTCCCCATGGCTTGCACTCTCTCTCTCTGTCAAATAAATAAATAAAACATTTTAAAAAAAGATTTTATTTATTTATTTGAATGAGAGAGTGAGTGAGAGAGAGAGCACAAGCGGTGGGGGGGAGACTTCGAAGGAGAGGGAGAAGCAGACTTCTTGCTGAGCAGGCAGCACACGGGCTTGATCCCAGGACCCTGGGATCATGACTGAGCAGAAGGCAGATGCTTAACTGAGCCACCCAAGTGGCCCTCTCCCCCCAAGTTAGGCTACTTATCTTTTTATTGTTGGGTTGTAGGAGTTCTTTATATATTCTGGATACAACCCCCTTATCATATATATGATTTGCAAATATTTTCTCCCATTCTGTGGATTATTGCCTTTTCGCTTTCTTTTTTTTTTTTTTAAAGATTTTTATTTATTTTTTTGAGAGATAGAGAGCATGAGAGGGAAGAGGGTCAGAGGGAGAAGCAGACTCCCTGCTCAGCAGGGAGCCCGATGCGGGACTCGATCCCGGGACTCCAGGATCATGACCTGAGCCAAAGGCAGTCGCTTAACCAACTGAGCCACCCAGGCGCCCGCCTTTTCGCTTTCTTGATGGTGTCCTCTGAAGCACAAAAGTTTTAAATTTCAATGAAGTCCAGTTTATCTATACTTTTCTTAGGTTGCTTGAATTTTTTGTGTTGTATTTTTTAAAAATCATTGCCTAACCTATGGTCATGAAGATGTACTCCTATGTTTTCTTCTAAGAGTTTGTTGAGAGTTTATCTAAACTAGTCCATAATGTTGCTGCCTCAGCAACTATTTTGTGTGGCTAAGGAGCCTGCAGGGGCCTTAAACTGATACTGATCCCTCCCAAGAGTATATGCTCTAGATAACAGCCCACAGAGTCACAAGTAAATGTAAGTTCCTGATATGACTCTCTTAATTGTCCTTGTGATAAGCATTCTCTGGGCATCACCCAGGGCCTTCCCTTTGTGCACTCTTTAGATAAGACCTCTGCAAAGTTTGCCAAAACCTGATTGACCAATCCAGCCTTAGCCTGGGAACCTCAAAGGACTCCACCTATAGACCTTAATAAAGACCTGTACCCTGGGTTCTGCCGAGCTCTCTGCCTGCACCCTGCCTTAACCTCCTGGTGTGGCCCTTCAAGGTATGCTGTGTACTCCCTCTAGGACCTATGAGTAATAAACTTCTCTATTTCAATTTTTTATGATCTTCTCGAACCTAGGCTCACCATCCAGTGCCTCCAGGGCTCTATTTAACAAATGTTAAGGGGTGCCTCGGTGATGCAGCCAGTTAAGTGTCCGGCTTTGCACTCAGCACAGAGTCTGCTTAAGTTTCTCTCTCCCTTTCTTCTGCCCCTCTCCCTGCCCCACGCTCGTGCACCCACTGTCTCTCTCTCCCTCTCAAATAAATAATCTTTTTTTAAAAATGTAGTTTAACAAAGTCACAATAGAGTTTTATAATTTCAGCTTTTACATTTAGATCTTCGGTCCATTTTGAGTTAATTTATGTGTGTGGTGTGAGGTAAGGGTCCAACTTCATTCATTTGCATGTGAATAACCAGTTGTCCTAGCACAGTTTTGTTGAAAAGACTATTCTTTTCCCACATTGAATTGGCTTGCAATGATTGTCAAAAATCAATTAGCCATCAAAAGAATGAGAAGACAAGCCATAGACTAGGAGAAAATATTTGCAAAAGACATATCTGATAAAGGACTGTTATCCAAAATATACAAAGAACTCTTAAACTCAACAATAAGAAAACCAACAACCCAACTAAAAATGGGCAAAAGACCTGAACGGACACCTACCAAAGAAGATATACAAATGACAAATAAGCATATGAAAAGAAGCTCAACATCATATGTCATTAGGGAATTGCAGATTAAAACAACAATGACATACCACTATACACCTATTAAAATGGCAAAAATCAAAATACTGACATTACCAAATGTTGCTGAGGATACTGAGCAATAGGAACTCTCATTCATTGCTGGTGGGAATGCAAAATGTTACAGCTTGGCAGCTGCTTCTTCTTCTTCTTCTTCTTCTTTTTCTTCTTTTTTTGCAAGTCTCAGGGCACTTTTTATTAGCAGCCATGCTTGAAGGGAACTCCAAGCTGTAATACTTGCTATCATCTTACACTGGTTTCCCCTTCTGTTTCCTTTCTCCTCCCTAACATAGCATGATTGCATTTTACATCAGTTTGAATTATACAAATCTAAAATAACATATCAAACCCTCACTTTGCAAAAAATGTGAAAATTAGTTGAATGTCACAAATCTTAAAAATCCATAAAATGTTTAATTACAAAACTAGAAGGCCAAGTCCCTGCAAACAGCTGCAGCAACTTTTAGCTGGTAAACAGGACACTCAGGCTTCTTTGACCAATTCAGCCAAAAAACACGTGGGGAGTGAATTGCACGGCATCTTCGGGGAAGCCTCTGGCATACAAGGCAGCCTGATGCAGCACATTGCTCCTGAGGCCCATCCCCAGCTCCTGCCGACGAGAGTTCACAGGACGGTGTGGCGGCAGACAGGTGCATCCCGGTCATCCACCTGCCGACGG